GTGTGCCCTGTTAAGGAAAGAGCTTGACCTGAGGGTACTCTGCATCCGCTCTGAATGCATTTTGTCCAATAAGGTCGATGCCTGTGGATTCTGCTGAGACGCAGGCTGGAGAGACACGAGGCGGGAGCGAGGGTCGAGAGCCCCAGACTTCGACTTCACACGATGACAGTGACAGAAAACCAGGTCCCTCTAAAAGCTGTAAAGGCTAAAATACAGACATCTTCAATAGTAACTAGTTTAACTGGCCAATAAAATCTTCTTCAGTGAGCAGCTTTTTGTTTGATTGAATTCATTTTGTCTCTGTTCTTATTTAACTATAGGCTGAGTTCACATAACTCTTATTGACTCTCATCATACTGAAATAATGAATATTAGTTTTAGTAAGCATTGTGAAACTCATTCATTTTAGAATATAGGCTTAATTAGTAATCAATTTTCAGTGGTTATTAATTTTAAGATTTAGCCCACATTTGCCCCCTAGGTTATCCTGACAAAAGTCGACTTTACATAAGATCAAAATCAAGAGATAGGGAAGTCATCAAATACCTCCATGATATAATTAGGAACTGAGTCTGATTAACAGAAATGTGTACTTGGACATTTGATGGAAAGAAGATTATTATTTCTGTTATTGGCTTTGATCAGTGTGTCCGTGAATTTGTTTTTATAGAAGAATGCCCCGATTCCACCCCTCCCCATGTGACTGAGGAGAAGGCCCTGCTCCTCGGCACCCAGCCTGTGGGCCACCTGCAGGTGCCAGCCCTCTGAGAGGGGTCCCTCTGACCTTGCTCAGGCCAGGCGTGCAGACCCTGCGGACCCTGAGGGACAGCATGAAAGGAAACTCGAAGCAGTGCGTGGTGGGGTGAGGGGTGATGGGGTGAGAGCGCAGTGCAGACCCGGAGGCGCGAATGCCCACGTCCATCTCAGGAGGCACTGCTTCATGCTTCCTGGGCACACACGGAGGCAGCGTCCCCTGGAGCCAGGCAGGCTGGGCAAGGGGCCGCGCTGTCCCAGGGACTGAGAACAGGGACACGCCTTCCCTGTCTGGTTCCTTGCTGAGGAGTCTGCAAGGCCTCCGTGCCTCCTGGAAGGATGCAGGGCAGGTGGAGGAGGAGGGGGCCCGAGGTCCCTCATCCCTGTGGCCACCCAGCTGTCTCCCTGCGCTCGGGACTGCCAGGACCCTGCATTTCGTTTTTCATGGCTTGGAACTGTGGAAACCAAGGCCCTGCTTTCCTCTTTCTTAGGTGGATGCTTCTCTTGCAGCCTGGTGTGCTGTGGTGGGGTGCAGTCCTGGGCCTCTGACTGCCAGCTGTGCTGTGGGACACTGTCCCCCACTTCCACACTGGGCCCCCGCTGCTGACGTCCAGGGTGCCCCACCCTCTCCAACCTGCCAGCTGTGCTGT